TCTTTGTGATTAAGAAACCTCCTAATCTCATTAGGACTGATCCTAATCCAAATCTGTATTTGGATAAGGAGTCTTCTTAATCCTATCTGCAGATTAGATCAGCCCACTCCTGATCTTATCAGGAGGTTACCAGATTCAAATCCTAATTTGAATTTGGTCTCCATGAGTGGATAGGGTTAAGACCCAATCCTTTTTTGCTTGACCTAACCTCAGATCCGCCCCTTTAAGTGACTGATCAAATCAGCCTAGTTCAAAATGGGCTTTAGGCCCAATATGCATCAAGTGCTCAATAGGCTTCCAAACTACTGCCTAGTTGGGCTTCTTTGTATGGCGTGGGACCCAAGCATTGATTTACACATCAGCCACATGGGTTCGGCCCAGCCTCTGTTACAAGGTCTAGCCGAATTCACTAGAAAGCCCAGTGAATCCCTTGAGCCCATCACATGGACTCTATGGGCCCAACACTTACACTAAGTGGTCCCTGGGCCAAGCCATCTTATAAAATCCCAGGGACTGTGGGCAGATGCAAGATTAGCCCATCAGGTATAACCCTAAATGGCCGTACATTTAACCTCTCAGCCCATAATGATCCAAAACACTGCCCGACAAGAGAGGACCTCTCCCTCGACTGCGAGGCACAGTGCTGCACTCTCCTCTAGGATGGACCCCGGGGATTAAAACCTTTTTGCAAACGAGTTGAAACCGTACATATATATTATATCATTATAAATATATTTTGCAAAACAAAATTCCAACGGTTGAAATCGACTGCCGGCAGTTTTGATTTCCATCAGAGAGAGTGCATCCCCGATCATTACCTTTGTCCGACAAAGGGGTTGATCCTGTTACTATGATCACCCACTCAGATGGGTTCATGAACCAGCCAACATACCCAGGTTTTGATCCCCTCTAAGGATCTTACTGATTGGCATATCAAAGACAGCCCAATCTGCCACCTAGTGCAGTATCATAATCGAGTCTAGGGGTCAGGTGTAACTTTCCAGTTTTGCCCACTCATCACCAAGGTCCAGGGCAATACTGGAAATTTGGTCTGGTTCAAGGTTTCAAGTTGAACTCTCACTGCATGTACCTCGGGTCTCACCCTGGCGGCTGTGACGGCTAAGACAAGCCTCCCCAACCAACTTGGCGGCACATCAGTGTCAGCCTTATCAGGATAGGTCTCCCCAGACCGACCCACTGGCTGTGAACATTTTAAACTAACACGAGTCTCATTAAGTGTCCAGTTTAAGGGTCTTACACAGAAACATACCACACAACATGAATCAAACATGCACTTTATTCATTTACACTAAATGTCTAAAGTACATCAAAACTGATTGGAGCTAAGGGCATACAAACTGTCTAACATTCTTCACAAATCACATTTGTGAAACCTAGAACTTGAAGATGATCTTCAAGTTCTAGGCTTTTGGCGGAATTTCAGCCTCAAGTTTTTTTTTTTTTTACTCCTAAAAAATATCTAGAAAAGGGTATGCTCTTACGGTCTTACCTGAGTTCGAGAATGGTTGAGAAACTTGAGATGAAAAGTGGCTATTGCTCACTTGCTCGGTTGCTCAGGACTCCAACTCCAACTTCAGCCTCCAAGTCTCCAAAACTCCAACTCCAATTGGTTGTTGATGCAGCCTCCAGAAGACCAAAACCAAGCCTCGACTCCTCGTTCCAGCCACCAGGTAAGGGAACAAAAAACCCCTTCTATGAAGTATGAAACCCTTCCTCTTCTTCTAATAAGCTTAAAATCTATACGATGATTCTCCATGTCTGTAACATGTTGTCCCCATGTTCTTTATTTTTTTAAGCATGTATGTGATTCTCTGTGTATGAAATTATGTTTTGTATCATGCGGATGCTTTTTTCTCTCTTTTTCTCTTTATCTGTTAGATGTGAAACCATATTCTTTTTCTTGTACGTTAGTCAACATGCTTGTCGACATATTAGGAAAGATGTTTTTTTGGACCGACTTGGTGAACATTTCCGAAATTTCCCAACAGTAATACAGTACCATCTGCATTATATTTCATAGTAAACATGGTTTCAAATTTCGGAAATGTCGACCAAAATAATGTAATATTTATGTTACAACTCATTTTCATGTTGCTAAGTCTTGACACTGACATATGTCGGGCAACATTGGCGACATTTCTCGACATTTGAAACCATGTTTATTGTGAAATATAATGCTGATGGTACTGTAGAGAGGTATAAGGCCAGATTTGCACCTTCCCCTGCTGGTAAAGGGATTCACACAAACTTATGGCTTAGACTATATAGAAACCTTTGCACCTGCTGCAAACTTCTCATGGCCACTATTTCAGCTAGATGTTAAGAATGCCTTCCTCAACGGAGACTTGCAAGAGGAAGTATACATGGAGTTACCCCTGGCTTTTGTAGTATAGAAGTAGGAAAGAAAGTTTGCCTTTTGAAGAATGCCTTGTACGGGCTGAAACAATCTCCGAGAGCCTAGTTTGATAGGTTTAGACTGGCTTTGGACAAATTCAGATACATACAGGCTCAGTCAAATCACACCCTCTTCTTTAAGAAGACAGGTCATTCCCTGACTTTACTTGCAGTCTATGTAGATGGCATTGTGATAACAGGGAGTGACATTAGTGAAATTGAAACTCTTAAACAGCATCTTCACAAGGAATTTGAAGTGAAAGACCTAGGAAAATTACACTATTCCCTAGGAATTGAGGTAGCTCGATCTAAGCATGGCATTTTTATCTCTCAAAGGAAGTATGTTCTGGACTTATTGGAAGAAACTGGAAAGTTAGGAGTGAAACCTGCTAACACTCCTATTGAGCTTAACCATAAAATAAGTGTAGAAAGTGGAGAAATCCTTGAGGACAGGGCTATGTACCAAAGGGTGGTTGGGAAACTTCTTTATCTCTGCCTAACTCGGCCAGATATTTCTTATGCTGTCAGTATTGTCAGTCAATACATGTATTCTCCTAGGACCACCCACCTCCTTGCAGTAGAAAGGATTCTTGCCTACTTAAAGAGATGTCCAGGGAGAGGTATAGTCTTCAAGAATAATGGTCATATGAAAATAAAAGTGTACAGATGCGGATTGGACTGGATAGGAGGTCCACCTCTAGATATTGTGCATTTGAGGGGGGAAATCTTGTTTCCTGGAGAAGCAAGAAACAAAATGTTGCTGCTCGCTCCAGTGCAGAAGCAGAATATAGATCCATGGCCAATGGTGTTGCAGAAGTGTTATGGCTGAGATCCTTGCTTAATGAGTTGGAGATTGATTATGAGAAGCCTTTGATGTTATATTGCGATAATCAAGATGCAATTAATATTGGCCACAACCCAATACAGTATGACAGGACTAAGCATATCGAGGTTGACAGACATTTTATCCGAGAGCGAGTCGCATCTCAAGAAGTATGCCTTCCTTACATTGCCTCAGACATGCAGTTAGCTGATCTATTCACCAAAACAGTCACAAAAATCAAATTGGAGACAGATTTACTCTAGTTGGGCATGACAAATATCTACTCCCAACTTGAGGGGGAGTGAAGAAATAGTTAGTAAGCCACGAGTGTGGGGTTCCATACCCACACTCAGGCTCTAGAGTGTGTGGTTCCATACCCACACCTAGTTATTTTTAGTTCCTTTTAAGTTGGGCCGGCTGGCCTTATCCATGTTATGTTTATTCATATTATGTTTTTTGTTTTATTAGGACTAGGATTTTATATTTATCTCCTATTCTTGTAAGGAACCAAAGCTATATATAATGAAGTGTATGGGGCGGCAGAGATCATCAACCGAACCCCTTCTTTCTTTCTCTCTTCTCCTTCCTTCCACTCTTCTTCTTCTTCTTCTTCTCTCTCTCTCTCTCTCCTTCTCTTTGAACCTGTGTTTCTCTTCTCAGATTACACAGCAGCAGTTCTGTTTTATTCAAGTGTTTTACCCTTGATTGTTAGAATTTCCATCTTATATCTTGTAGGGTTGCAAGAAAGTGTTGTCACTACGTTAACTCATAGAAACCAAATCAACCAGCCATGCACTCATTGGGTGATTTAATTTCTCACCTGAACCAATCACTTAACATGTTAGGATAGTAAGGTAGTAGACCTTGGAGGTAGCCTCGATTTTTCCATATATTAGTGGGTTATTTTTATGTCATTTGGGTTAGGAAAAAATGCAATCACTCATTGGATAATTTGGTTTTACAATTGATTATTATAATTTCTGTCTTATATTTTGTAGGGTTGCAAGAAAGTGTTGTCACCATGTTAATTCATCGAAATGAAATCATCCAGGCATGCATGCATTGGGTGATTTGATTTTCACTTGAACCAATCACTTAACATGTTAGGATATGTTAATATTTCTAACTTGTCTTGGTATGATTGTAGACCATGTGAGTCACACAACACATATTAGGCTAGCTTAGCAGTTCTTAATTCTCATACTAAGGTAGGAGACCTTGGAAGTAGCCTCCACTTTTCCCTTAGTTAGAGGGTTGTTTTTATGCAGATTTGGCTCATGGATGGGCTTTCTAGTAATGGTAAAATCATTTGGGGCATGCTGCCGGTGGCTGTTTTTTGGTCTGAGAGGAACATCCAAACTTTTTAAGGCAAATCCTCAAATAGATGAAATCATACATAACATGACAACTAAGATCTTGGGAAAAGGCATCTAAGATTTCAACTGAAACCCTCTTTAGATCAATACTGTGTAATTGTTAGGGGTTCTCTGCCCATGTAGAGCCACAACTTTTGGGGTTTTCCAATTTATACAATTAATACAATATACTTCTATAAAAAGATCCATATGGTCAGCATGCCTCTGAAAAATATGGTAAAACAATGTGTACCATTACCAACAAAATTAGGGTTTGTATTCTCTGAAGTTCATAACAGGCTGTTCTAAGCTGAACAAGTTGGGCATGGCTGCTTCTTGGAAGCTTCTTTTTTCTGTCATGATTTTTTGGAGATTTTATCCTATACTTGTTACTTTCTCTCTATCAGGTTACCATGCTTGTAGGTTTGGAACATGGAAAAAGTCCACCAGTAAACACGACTTTGACTTGGGGATGCACCAGGTCACACAAAAGAGGTGGGCTACTCGAACTGTTGCAGCGGAAAATGACAGTAAGATCAGCATTGGGCCTCATAAAAGTGAAGCAGGAGAAGAGAGTAAAGACAGTGGAATTGTTTATTATGGTCCAATCTCATCTACCATCAAGAAAGTGAAGCTTCTCTCTCTCTCCACCTGTTGTTTATCTGTGTCTTTAGGACCCGTAATAACATTCATGACTTCACCTGACATGAATGTGATTCTCAAGGGTGCTGTTGCTTCCTCTGTCATATTCCTAAGTGCTTCCACTACTGCAGCCCTTCACTGGTTTGTAAGTCCCTACATTCACAAGCTCAGATGGCAACCTGGCTCAGACAGCTTTGAGGTTGAGATGATGTCTTGGTTAGCTACATACATCCCGCGAACAATTAAGTTTGCTGATGTTAGGCCACCAGAAACTAACAGACCTTTTGTTACGTTCAAGGCGAATGGAAATTTCTACTTTGTTGATACTGAGCACTGTCATAACAAAGCTCTCTTGGCAAGGTTGACCCCCCAGAAAACTGCTCATGAATCAGCATTTAAGAACTTATGAGAGCTGAGATTTGTTTACTTTTGGTATGGTTATTGGTAGGAGATGCAATCTGATGCTTTTTTTGGGGCCATCCTGCCTGAGGATATATCATCTTTTGGTTTTTGAGAAGGAAAATAAGAATGTAGTGATACTTTTGACGTGACGTTTATATTGAACTGATTGATGATTTTGCATTTCAAGTAGAAATCCTTGTAGGTTATTGTGCAACTGCTTAATATGCTTCTAAGGATGATGGATTCAGGGATCCTATTGCTGTTGATTTGTCAAAATGTGAACGAATCCCAAGCCATGTGCTACAGAGAGCTTGCCATCAAAATATGAGGTAAGTCTAAACAGTGGTGCCTTTCACTTTACAGGTAGTATCACCTATTAATTATGTTAGAAAGCTTATCTAAACTTCTGCAGGCACTACCAAGTAACAATTTTCCCGAATGAAACTAAGTCGATTCGACTTGAATGAAATGGATTTTGAGTACTCGCAATACTGATCCGGCTTGTAATGAAGTTACTGTTTGATCTCCACATGCGTTCTGATTGTTTTTACGGGATTTGTTACAAGAACCAGTTTGTAGCAGATGCAGACTACATGAAATAACCGTGGTTTATACTTGATAGATAGTGTAATTACATGGTTTTGAACTTTTTGGCCTTTTAACCAAAGTTCGGTGAAACTGACAATAGTAATTTATAAATAAAGGTATGGATGCAGGATGCGTGTTGCCCGATAAGTATCAGAAGACGCGTTCTACCCCTGAAACTAGATCTAAATCCCGACAGTTCTGTCTGAGAACGTGCTTCACGAATCGGTTTCTTCAGCAAAATAGTACATAAAATCCTCTGCCCTACTACAGTCTACAACAAAGATGCACTTCACCGCCACCATAAATCAATCATCCTTTGCATGAAAGTGACATCCGCTGGCCTAATATATAGCATCGTCTCACCTTAACCAAGGGAGTGGGGGTCGAGGATTCCTTGAATGAGATACCACCGAATCATCAGCAGTTTTGAATGAAACATCTTTTCTTAACCAGGAACCCAAGATGACAATTCTTTTATTTTTTATTTTTTTGGGTGGGGCATTTAACGCAGCACATTAATAACTCTCGAAGTAGGTGATAATAGAAAATTCCCATATCCACTAGGACTGCCCAAACAACGTACCAATTGAACTACCACTCAGTTGCCAAGAAGACAAATCTTGCACCTATAGGGGAATGGAGTTAGAAATGAGTTATATGTGAAAACATGAAATACTGAATTTGCATGGGTACCCCCCACAGCACATCCCAATGGTGCATGTGGGGAACGAATTGGGATCTGGAACGTAGATGTTCCTGATGTTCGGCTAATACATACTGTGAGGTTGGTACGAGGAGTGTTCTGTGAGGAGTAGATTCAGATATGTGGGGAACCATGTTCCTCATACATGCTCACATGAGCATGTGGGGTGCCTGTGGCATGCTTTGTGTTTGGTGGAGAGATGAGAGGTGTATGCACCATTTATACTTAACTGGTTAATTGCCATGGTGGGGTTTTTTCTCTCTCTCTTGAGGCTGCGTTTGTTTTCAGTGGAAAACTCGTTGATGTAAAACTCAATGGAAGGGTTTAAAATTTTAGTGGACCGTTGGTGTTTTTTTGATGTGATAATCGATGTAGGATTTAAAATTGATGTACTATTTACATCAATTATTGATGGAAAAGTGAATCAATGGATAAACCTTACACAAAAAACAAATGCATGAATATACAAATTGGGAGTGAAATTTTACATCGGTCTGTATTTACAATGAAAATAAACACATATAAATGCGAACTGCAGTGAAATTCTACATCGATCAGCATTTACACCAAAAACAAACATAGCTTCAATAAAAATGACTTTTCATCAATAAACATAACCAAAGAGCAATACTAAAAATTCAGCCACTACAAACTACAGGAAAATAAAGACAACAAACAACACACTACTCAGCAATGCCGATGGAGTCGGAGCCAACATGGTCAAACAGAAGCTTTAGAATGGAGAATTTAGGTCCCCCTGGCCCCACAAGAACCGTGCTTAGCAAGGGCACCAATTACCCTATTTGGGTTGTATCTTTGTTTACATAACCAAAAGTGAATGAGTAACCAACTTTCAAAACATTAAGTTTCGGTAGTCAGATCCTTAGATTCACTCTGAATCCAAGAAAGTTTAAAGACTTCTGTTTAACCCTATACGACGGCAATACAATGTCAGTCTCGAGTACCCAGAGGAAATGCTATAAAATAATTGGAAATTGCCTGTGCCTCCTAGGTACCAACTCTTCATGTGGAGAATTCTTAACAGTTTTATTCCAGTAAAACAATCCTTATTTGTAACCACTCAGGAGCAAAAAATGTGGTCTGATCAATCAACCACCTATTTTTTAAGTGCCCTCTCACAAAAGCCATCCAAATAAATGGTTTGGGGCCCCTTGGAACATTAACCTGCAAAGGATATGAAATGGTTCTCGGTTGAATCGTCTTCACAACCTAATTCTTAGCCTTCCAGATAAAGAGCTTTGTAATAGAATAATAGGGTGGCACGCCATTGCCTTATATTATATCTGGAGTGCTAGGAATGAGAAGGTGTTGAGAGATAAAAATTTACCCCCCACAAAGAATCAATGGAAAATTAACTCCATTTTCAATTCTTTAAAGCTCTCTCAGCAGGAGGAGATGCTTCAACCTATAATCCACAGGCAAGATAAATCAACTATGGAAGTAAAGTCAAAGTTAGAATCTGTAATCCTCGTTTGCGAGTTCTCATGGTGCTATTTGTATATCTAAATCCTTGATTTGCCTTGGTATTTCGGAGCTAAATGCAGTCTTGCGAGTCCTCCAAGTAGCTGCCAATCTCTCTTTGGCATATGTATATATGTTCACATTCTCTGTTGCGGAATGAAGTGAATCTTCCGTGGACATGTCGTTGGCCGTTATTTCAAACAAAGGAAATTTGTAATATTTTCATATTTTGAACTCAGTAACCTTTTTGCATGTAAATAGGACCTTTAATGCTCCGGAGAAATAGCCAAATCTCAATGACAGGACCGTTACAACTTTCAAGATTATCCCCAGTACATTGTGATTTTTGTGGAAATATAAAATACTTTATTTGTCTAGCAAAAAGAGAGTCCAAAAACATGACTCGAATTCTTCCGTTTCCCTTTTTCTTTTTGCTAGAAGAAATCTACAAAGCTACAGTAGGACGCAACGAATAGGGAGCCAATGGCGAAATCATCGGCAGCAATATTTAGTTCCAATAACCAGCGACAAGAGACTTGGCATACACCAAATTCATATTATCAGATCTGATATATGGGTTAATAGCATATAATGGCAACTTCAATAAAAGTAATATTTAAAAAATATGTTAACTTTTTAAAAATAATATTAATAAAAAACAAAAACAATGTTTATCATCTTCTTTTTGCCATTTGTTAACCAGCACCGCCGCCCGCTGCCGCCTTCGCCTCTGACAACGTTGCTGGAGGTGGCCGGAGGCAGAGGTAGCGGCAGCAACGTTGGTGGTCATTCCTCTGCCTAGCACCGCCGCTGCCACCTTTGTCTCCACCCACCTTTGACAGCGTTGCTAGAGGCGGAGGTGGCAGCGCTGGGCAAAGAAATGACCACTAGAGCCATCGCTGCCACCTTTGCCTCCGCCCACCTCCAGCAACGTTGCCGGAGGTGGCGGGGGGGCAACAGCGGACGGCAGTGGCGGGTGGCGGCGCCGGTGAACAAATGGCAAGAAGAAAATAATAAAGTGTTTTTGCCCTTTATTGATATTATTTTTTTAAAAGTTAACCTATTTTGAAATTTTTTAAAAATATTACTTTTATTGATATTAAACCCCAAAAGTTGCCCTTATATGCTATTATCCCTAAAATAAATTAGAAAATGATAGTTTAGGCATTTAAAAAATTTTAAATAGTCAAATAAGAATATTTTTTGAAGTCAACTGATGGAACGTTAATTGAGGGGGGGTCTTTGTCACAAATTAAAGTTCAGAGGGTATCTATCACTGACCCCATAGTACAAGAGGGTCTCTCTAATTTACCCTAAATAATAATGTGTTTAATAATTATATTTTATTTATATCATATTATTTAACAATAATAATAAATCAATCTTGTTATAAATATTTGTTATTAATTAATAAATATTATTATTTATTAATTAAAAGAAATAATACTACTAGTAATAATATTTATTTAATAATAATATCAATATTATTTAATACAAATTTAAAATTTTTATTTATTATTAGTTAGTAATAATAAATAAATATTATTATTACTTAAATAATAAATAATTATGTACTTCAATAAATAATAATGCTTGTTTATTAATATAATAATTTGTATTTAATATTCTTTTTATTATTTATAATATTATCAAGCAATCTATTTCTAATTGTAAAATAGTAAACTTCATTTTAAATGTTGGAGAATTGCTCAAACTCAAACGATCTTTGTTTTTTAGAGCCACTAAAAAATAATAAATCATTTCTACTTCTTTTCAAATTTCAGACCCAAATAATAGCTTTTTAACTTTTTAGACATTATATTTCAGATTTATCTAATGCCACCTGACTGTTTAGTGCTTAGTGGGAGTCTAACTCAGCTTGTTAGCATTTTACATAGTTTTAGGATTGAGCCTATGGACCATGCCCATTCAAGTTTCGACAAAACCCAACCCAAGCCTACCCAAGTTACAACCTGATTGGACCATGGAAGCACTCAAGGTTATATCTCCATCCAATAGCAATGGAGTGGTAGAGCAGGTCATTGAACAATTTTGCCTAACACTGAAATGTATAGAGTTTAGAGAAAGACGTAAGAAAAGCTCAAACACAAGTGTTGACATTCTATAACAACTAGTGTATGGGTGCGTATGTAAAAAAGGATAAATATAAAATTGACATTGGGGATGAACCCACCTCCGTGTTTTGCAATGGCCAAAATCTTATGATTCATTCGGATTAATACAGAGGCAGAGGAGGAAGACCAACACCACTTCCTATTTTCATATTTTTACAAAAAAGGTATCTTGTTTTAGTTGATATATAAAAATATTATTTTTTATTGATGTTAAAGACAAAAACCAGCCTTTATTTGCTATTCTCCCAAGATATATTCCCCACATTGGGGGCTCATTATGACCCCAACATAAAATCAAATATAAAAAGGAAGAATATAGCAAAAAGGGATAGGTAAGTAAGTTATTTGAAAAATCTGCTAGTGAGGACATTAAATAAAGGAGGGATAAGATACAAACAGCCCAAAAAGCAACAAGGCATCAAATTCCAAATTTGATCAGAAAGCGGAAATAGAGGAAAAAATAGTTGAAAGGGGCGGCTAACCGCGGTGTGAAATGAGAATGACGTTCTACACAAAACCAAGACACATCAAAAACTTTTGAAGGCTGTACTAATGAGCTGGAAAAGCATGCATCGATGACAAAAAAGTAAATAGACAAATATATAAAGAAGGAGCCATGACCAACTATAAATTCTCGATGAGATCATGAGTTACTACTGAGGAAATTTCAAGTCTCTCCAACTTCAAAACATCAAAACAGCACAGAAAGACAAAATAGACTCAATAACAGCGTATTAATTCTTCCGCCACCGCCTGTCAAGCACCCAATTCTGCGATTGACCACCCGATGAAGGTGATAACAGAATATTCCTACCATCAAAACGACCAATAAAACATCCAACTATAATGATGATACTAAAACGTAAAAGGTCCTTACGACACACATAATAATTCTCTTCCCCAGCATCCAATTGAACCAATGACCGCACGGTTCACTTGCCAGACTTCTTGGCAGCGGACTTGGTGACCTTGGCACCAGATGGGTCCTTCTTATCGACACTCTTGATGACTCCGACTGCCACCGTCTGACGCATGTCTCTCACAGCAAAACGACCGAGTGGAGGGTACTCAGAGAAGGTCTCAACCACCATGGGCTTTGTGGGAATCATCTTAACAAGCCCGGCATCGCCGTTCTTCAAGAACTTGGGCTCCTTCTCAAGCTCCTTACCGGATCGCCTGTCGATCTTGGTAAGTAGCTCGGCAAACTTGACAGCAATGTGGGAAGTGTGGCAGTCCAGAACAGGGGCGTATCCATTTCCGATCTGCCCAGGATGGTTCATGATGATAACCTGGGAGGTGAAGCTGGCAGCCTCCTTGGCAGGATCTTCCTTGGAGTTCGAGGCAACATAACCACGCTTGAGATCCTTGACGGCAACGTTCTTCACGTTGAAACCGACGTTGTCACCGGGAAGGGCCTCCTGGAGAGTCTCGTGGTGCATCTCAACAGACTTGACTTCAGTGGTCAATCCAGTGGGACCAAAGGTGACGACCATACCGGACTTGAGGATACCAGTCTCAACACGACCCACTGGAACAGTTCCAATACCACCGATCTTGTAGACATCCTGGAGTGGGAGACGGAGGGGCTTGTCTGAGGGCCTCTTGGGCTCATTGATCATGTCCAGAGCATCAAGGAGGGTTGGGCCCTTGTACCAGTCGAGGTTGGTCGACCTCTCAATCATGTTGTCACCCTCGAAACCGGAGATGGGAACGAAGGGGATTTTATCAGGGTTGTAACCCACCTTCTTCAGATAGGAGGACACTTCTTTCACAATTTCATCATACCTTGCCTTGGAGTACTTGGGGGTGGTGGCATCCATCTACACATATCATAATTGAAGAATGAAATCATCAGTAACAGAAATTCATTTCAAAGGCCAATGCTCCCTTAAAAAGACTAAAATGTTAATTTCCAATGATACCTTGTTACAGCAGCAGATCATTTGCTTGACACCAAGGGTGAAAGCAAGGAGAGCGTGCTCACGGGTCTGGCCATCCTTGGAGATACCAGCCTCAAAACCACCAGTGGTGGAGTCGATGATAAGGACGGCACAATCGGCCTGGGAAGTTCCAGTGATCATGTTCTTGATGAAGTCACGATGCCCGGGAGCATCGATGACAGTGCAGTAGTACTTTGTGGTCTCGAATTTCCACAGGGCAATATCAATGGTGATACCACGCTCACGCTCAGCCTTGAGCTTGTCAAGCACCCAGGCGTACTTGAATGACCTCTTGTTCATCTCAGCGGCCTCCTTCTCGAACCTCTCGATAACACGCTTGTCGATACCTCCAAGCTTGTATATAAGGTGACCGGTGGTCGTCGACTTACCAGAGTCGACGTGACCGATGACCACGATGTTTATGTGAACCTTCTCCTTACCCATGATGATCGCTAAGGGGAGAAAAACAATAAACTGCACATTCGGAAAAAGAAAAAACAATAAAGAATATTTATCAATCTGCAATAAGAAAATGGTAACAGACACAGCCTGTAAAGAACATCTAAAGCAGAGATTAAAACGGTCAAAGCTCAGGATTGTAATATGAATACTAAAAGAACCATGCAAATCATACATAATTTCCACAAAAAAAAAATTAGAAGTTATGAAGCCCTAAAGTACATAAGCAGGATGAGATTAGCAACAAAGAAATCGGATCCAAGTCTCCAGATCCAGGGTATTCATGGAAAAAGCTAAGTGATATAGACGAAGCTCAGAACATTCATTTGCAAAGTAATATCTCCTAAACTATAATAATATATAAATGAATGGATTCGTACGAACGGAAAAAAACCAAAAAAACGAGAAAAGAAATCCACCAATTGACTAAAATAAAAAACACAAAAGGATCCTTAGGCCCAAATATTGAATACTCGTTCGAATTTCCTATGGAAAACACAGCAGATGAAAGAATGATACTTGTATAGATCTAGAATAGCAATCCAAAAGTTGCAGATATGAGAAGCATCAATAGAGAGGAACTTTTAGTATGAAGTCGAGCGGATTCTAACCTTTAGCAACAGCAGAGAGTTGGGCGAAGAAAAAAACACCGAGATCCCGTCGATAAACCTATCGCCAGGTACAGAGAGAAAGAGGGAGCTGGGGCAGGGAATAGGGTTTGCAGAGCGAGGCACTCGCCTTAAAAGGTCTCTCTAAAGACATGTCGCATTAGGGTTTCTATCAAAACCGTAGATTAATTGATCCAATGGCTTAGGCTACTGTCTTGACCATCGGTTTCGATTAATGGTAGAGATCAAGCTACGTCATAGGCTCCTAAATGTTACCGTATTGTCCTGCGTTTCCACTTTCGAAGCGGCGGAGTGGCCAATTCCGTGGTCTAAACTCATTGCCCCCTTTGCTCTTGTGAACCCTAGTACGGTTTCTTTAAGCGCCGTCGGATCCTTGAAAAGAAACAACGGTCCACATTCCATATTATTTGGAATCCGTTTGGAAGGGCTTCGGCTTTTAAAATTAGTTTGATGGGAAAGACGAGTTATTAGGTGAATTAAAGTGTATTTCGGCTTTTCAGATTTTTCACCAAACATATAAGAATAGCTTCTAGTCTTTCCATATGACGCAGGGGTACGAATTATCCGGTTAAAACCAAAAAACGGAAACTGAAAATCGATTCGGTTTTTTTTTTATTTTTTTTGTATTTGGTTAATTTTATTTTTTGGTTTTGATTTTTAGAATTAGAAATAATATATATTTTATAATATAATATATATAATATATATAATAGCGTATATATTATTAAAATTCAGTTTTAACGAAATAATAAAAAAATCTGAATAAACCAAAGGCTCACCCAGGCCCACCTTATAAAGCAAAAATCTACTACATGAAAACCCTCGCAAAGAGGCACTTAATGCTTTTATCTGTCAAGAACTATATGTAATTTGATCAACTATCCATGACTCAAAAATAACTGAAAGGGCATGGCGTCACATTTATGGTTAGGGGATGTCATGCTAAAAGACCTGAAAAAAATAATAATGTATGTTTCAAGTTTGATAACAAGAGAATGATTATATATTTCTATCAACAAACAAAAATCTTACCCCTTCAACCAATCAACAATCCTCACCTTATGACATTGTGGTTGTGTTTGTTTTTTTATCAAATTGGGCTGTGAAAGGAAAGATTTGATGATAAATCAGGAAAAATCTATGATATTGGAAAGACATGATACTAGAAGAGCTTTGACCAATCAAAATATCCTCGTGAATTGTGATGAATACCACCAAATTGTTCATCTCTTTTATGATAACAGTTGATTTGATGTAAATTTTTCCGATAGTCTTATATGGTATCATAGTCGAACGCAACTAGAAAAAAAAAAGTGTATTTTTCTCACCATATTTATGAAAAAACAACTTTTGTGTATTTATTGAGAATATTTGTAGAATAACCAACCAAAAGGAGACTTAATACATGATGTGAGCTAGGAAACATGTTACCTCATAAATTAGACTTGGAATCTACCTTTCAATCTACAAAATAGGGTGAACTAAACTGTTTAGATCTACAAGAATAAAAAAAAAATAGCAAATAAGAAGAGAAAATCAATGTGCATGAAGTGCATACCACTCGATTAATGGTATCCAAAACAGGGTAACTAGTTATCATCAACAACCTAAAACCACAAAAGAAGAAAAAAAAATGGCAAACAAATATGCCCATGTCAAGGTATGCCCCAAATGAACCATTGCAAAAGGCGCACTAAAGAAATAATTTGAGATATAGTCATTGGGAGGGAATAAATCATGGAATATGGGAGAACATGACATAAAAAATACATAAAAAAAAAGCCTTAATCGAATTGGCTTCACAAGTAAAAGGTTGTTTTGGTTTGAATTCAAATTTCATCCTCACAAAATTGTTCTCACACTATCCTCGCATCCTTTTGGAGTTGTGCATTGGGAACATCGCCATATTTGTTTAATGGGGATATATTCCCCATGTATAATTGCAAAGGGTTGTGATGATGGTGTGAGGACAAAATCCGAATTCTTTTGGTCTTAGCTTTGCTAGTTATAGTTGAAATTATGGCATTGGAGGGCATGAGCAATAGATCGAGGAAGACAACATGCTTATAACATGTTCCAAAAAGTTATGTCAAATATGCCTCAATAGGTCACATTGATTTGGTGTGATCCAACGTCCTTGTTCTTGAGATCCAATGTCTTACAATTTCCCATTCCATACCCTCTCTCTCTCTCACACACACAAATCAAATATAGGAAAAACTAATCATTAAGGAATATTATCATTTTATTGTACAATGGCATTCTCTAACTAAAATCCAACCAAAAAGTTATATTTGAAGTTTTTCTCAATGTTAAGGTTAAAAAAAATATGAGCCATATTTAACTTCTAGTTGGATTAAGACTGAGGCACTTTCCAATCTGACCCAACAATATAAAGTAAATAAGTCAATCTAATTCAATCCCAACTTGAAAATCCATTTCAAACAAATTGGATTTACATAGTAAAAAAAAAAGATTATGTTAAAGTTGGATTGGGATTTCAAGAAATCAAATTGGGTCATGATTGAAAAAGCTTGGGGGAGTATTAGCCCAACCTATTTGTGGGTATAGGCCTATATGGGATGGATTACCCCTAGTTAAAGGTATAGGGATGGGAAAAGATTAGGGGGCCAAAGATCCCCACCCAATAACTTGGCTTTTCCCCTATTCTCATACCTTTCGTCTTTCATGTGAATCCTAATAGGTCAAATTTTCCCCATTTCATTTTGTAATACATAGCTATTGAAATTTGAAGTACACCGTGGTGAGAAAAAGTAGAAAAGGGAAGAGTATTGTGTAAGTACATAGTGGTTGCTCAGGCCATTAGAGCACAGAAAATATCAAATTAATACCACGTGAATGCTTGCAATGAATACATAACTCATCGCATGATTGTGACGAACTCGAGCCCGAAACTAGTTGCGAGGAACGTTGGCTTAGGTAAATTTGCAATGAATTTAAGGCATGTGCGGACCCACGATGAGTTTTGGATGCGCATGAACCTGCAATGAGCTCGAAACCATCGCAAGTCCATGACAAACGTGGAATTACCATACAACCGGAAATAAATATTAGATACATGTGCGCCTTTAAATTACACGTGTGACGGGATGCCCCGTGTGCCTAGTAAAGGCAAGCAAAGCAAATAATGACGTCACCTGCGCCACATCAGTTTAAAATGGTTATAAAATGAAGTAGTATACATAGATTATGAAAATCTTTAAGAGAAAGAAAACCTTATTTTTAAAGGATCTCGTTGGACACGTGGCGAAACCCCAATGATGCTCCCTTAATAACCAGCATAAGAATAAAAATCCTCTTTCATAATAGAAAATGTCTCCTTTATATCATTCTCCTTATAGCCTTGGGTTTCTCTCTATAAAAAGGGAGAACAACCCTTCCCTAAAGGAGATAACACATAATGTTGACATAGGGTTTCTCAAAAGGGGACTCTCCCTTCTCTCATCTCTTATTCTCTCTTCCCCACGTCCTCTCTTTCCCGTCGCCTTCTCCAGACCTTTGGAGACTTGACCAACCTCTATAGCCTTACACAACAACTTGTTTTCATGCTTTCCTAAAGCATAATTGCATTGACTAATCATTGCCATATCTCTTCTTTAGCTTACATTCCCTCTATGTGCCTTCTATCAAACGCCCTATATTGGTGAATTTCTTTATGTTGGGAGCATCATAAATTTGAGCAACATCTACTCACACAACATCCCCATCATAAATGAGAAATTGCTCTTAATTATCCCCTTTATTTGCAATCTCTATATAAGTGATGACCCGAAGAGGCAACAAAGTCTTTAAGCCCTATTCGCTTTTCGGTAAGTTACTTATCCGGGTAAATGCAATTATTTGGGTAAGTTTTTTTGGGGAAACACTTGCCTGGGTAAGTGCATTACCCATGTTCTTTTATTTCTCAGGTATATAAGGCAATGGTCATTTTAGTTATATAAATCCATTATTAAAAGGGTCATTTTTGTCCCTTTCAAGTGTTAGTAACTTTTCCCTATGTGGGAAAGTTATTTTACCCAACTAGGAGATGGGTATCACTTTCTTAGTAAATGGTACTTAGGAAAATAAACTTTCAGTGATCCCACATAAAGCTGAAAAAGAGCATGAGATTCTTGGTCAATAGGAACCAAAATCCCATTGACCAACTTTCTCCCTCTCAAAATCCAAAAAAAGAACACCTCCTTAGAGTTTATAGATTGAAATATAATTTATTCTTCATAGGCACGTGTGAAACATAATTTATTCTTCATAGAGCATTTCAGCATAACCTCACAACATATCGCAACCCTGCATTAGGTACATCTTTTAATGAATGACAAATTAAGTATGGGAGATGATCTTAATGAATGAAAAAGTGTTGTGTGAGGATATCATTCAATTAGGTGCTTCATTAGCCCCTCACCCTCATATAGCAAGTAAGAGATAAAGAAGCAACATAGGCGGTGATCCCATGACCATGGCTTTTTATAAATGAGTTGTTTATGGTGGGACACCACTTTTATTGTGATAGGGGAAAGAGTATTTCAAGTGGTTGATGCTCTTATTGACAAAGTGGGTAAGGAGATTAGGATGATGGTGTTTGACAAATTAATGAGGGTCTTTGTTTTTAAGCATTAATGAAATGGGGTGTAATATCCCTCGTACAGGTAATTGTGTGGCCCATAATTTAGCCAAAATGGGGTGTAATATCTCTAGATTTTGACTTGGTCTACACCTCCTGAGTTTCTCAAGCCTGTGCTTATGAATGACTTGTTGCAATAATTTCTACGAGTTTTTCTTTAAAAAAAAAAAAAAAAAGAAGAGCTAACTTAATTGGCACATTTGTTGGTTTCAATTCCCACAACCACCAACTTTGGTGAGGGGAAACCAAAGCAAAAAAAAAGCTATTAGGGGCCAAACGGTACCACGAGAGAGGTAAAACAATAATTGAAAGATAGACATGGGCGTGAATGGGTGAATGTGTCCTACCCATAAACACTCTTTATGTCGTTACTAGAGTAGTGCTGCACCATTCAAATGGGCTTAATGGGTCACCAAAATACCAAAAAAAAAAAAAAGTTGGGATGGATTTTC